CAAGGAGAATTCACGATGACATGTAAAGGTGGTAGCCATAAAATGTTTGCACTGCCATGAAAAAGATACCAAAAAACTACCTGGCTATCCAGACCCAATGTAATGAGCATGAAGAAGAACAGAACCGACCAGAAAGGAGCAGCCGGCATTCTGGCTACTACCTCTGGGTAGGCGACAAACGCCAGGCCAAACCCTGAAAGGGCGAACACAAGACAAATGGTCAGACATGGGTGAAAGATTTGGAGGAAACATAGTGACGTCTAAAGACCCGAAAACATTACGTTAAAGATATGGTTTCTTTTTGTTTTCTTTGTCCAAAAGGACAAAAACACCTGTAGGCATCTCAGTTATGTTTCCAGGATTCGGATACCTTGCCTGGCAACCTCAGAGACGTCTTTACCCTGGACGTGGGCCATGTATCCAAGGATGGAGAAGATGACAAATCCTGCCAAGATACTGGTGGCCGAGTTCAGAATGGTGACAATCATCGTATCCCTGCAGCAGAGATAAAGACAGATCAATCAAAATGATACTTTCTAGCCTGGAAAAACCTGACTTTCTTCTTACAGTGCCTCAAAAATAAAAGTGGAAATCCATCCAGGTGCTTCGCCAAAATTTTGAAGTGTTTTGTTGCAAATTACGCACAATGAAAGAGAACCCGGACGTCCATCCGGGTGCCTGGGTCAGCTTTTTGAAAGACCAAAAATGAAAAAAGGGGCGATGGGATATTTTTATCCTGCTCTAAGACCCAAAAATTAAATGCAGGATGCGAAACTCTTGCTTCTGGTATTCTAAAAAATGTTCAAATTCCTGAGACATTTTCTCAAAATGAAGGATTATTTGCACCTGTATGTGTTGTTATGGAACTTGTTGTAAGACGCCAGTGTTTGCATACCACCCATAGCCAGGGTAAGGGAATAGAAGATCTGCACCACTGCATCCAACCAAACCTGAGCAGAAAAATATTAAAGCAGTCGAATGTCTATCCTTCATTTAATTGCCGGTCAAACTTAAAAAAATCGCACAAGCTTACAATAATTAGTTTACTTTTTATTATTGCAAAATATGATTTTTTTTCCAAAAACGTGGCTTAAACACAGTCCCTAGGATGGTAGTTGTCATCTTTGTTTAAATTCTGGCACTTTCTGTTCATAAATAGAGAATAGCACCATGTCTCCACGGGGCAACTAGCCTCCCTGACCCTTGATTGGCCACCGAACGAGGCATTCGTAGCAACTGGTTGAAAGCAACCTCTAAACCTCCTCAACCTCTGAACTCTCCTCAAAAATAAAGTACTTCTAGGCCTAGTTTCCTCACCCCCCCAAAAAAAAGAAACCATGAAACAAACCATATAGGGAAATTGGTGCATGTAAATGATTATAAGGATGAACAAAGACATTGACTGGAACGGGATTTGAACCTGCGACCTTCGGAACACGGTACCGGTACATGTGAAGCAAACTATGGGACAGAGGGCAACCCCTGCCTTTGTGTTGGTCTTGGTTACACTGGTATCTCAGGAATTCTGTTGAGACATGGGGGGGGGGTTAGGTAACATTAGGCTGGAGTGTACATAGGGATTAGATTTGTGGGGGGGTACCCCTCTATCCCATTTCGTGCCTGGTATATACCGGTTGGTGTGTGTAAATGCCCATGTAAG